CCGCCCCGGCCGGTGGGGGATTGCTCGGCGCCCTCCCCTGCCGCACTGGCGGAGGAGGTGGGGGCGCGGCGGGTGGCTTTTTTTGCCTAGGGCGGCAAAAAAGCCAGAGCCGGCCCTGCTTAAGTGTAGGCCTCCCTAAATGGAGTTGTGTACCATCTTTGTCCCGATATCTGTACTGGGGAGGAGGAGAGTATGACAATTGTATTTATTCATTGTCTTTTATAACAGAGAATAAATCCTTCAAGATAGAGGTCAGTAGTGCAGTGTGAGACTAATTTTGAGTTTTTAAGCACCAGTCTAGTAACAAGGGATAATGACTAAAACTAAGTAAACAGTAAATGGCTGTCCTGTTAATAACAGGGGGCCAAATTGTGACTCTTATGTGAGTGTATAACGGTAGGAAGGTAGTTTGTGCTCCACCTTGCATTCCCCTCTCAGGGCGTGGCCAGAGTTGCAAACACTGTGCTCCTTCAGCTATTCAGAGTTACAATCTTTGCACCAGCCCCTCCAAAAGTCTATGTCTCTCTCTCTGCAATGGCTGACGTGGTCAGCGTGGAGGGGAGCACATGCTGCTCCCTTCTCCAGCATGGTGCAGCAGGTCTGCTTCCTGTGAACTCTGACTCTTAGAACTTCTGTTGGGGTGGTGCAGCTCTAGTAGGCATTGTGGAGCTGTAGCTAGGAGACACACTTTCACCCTAACTACGCAGGGATTGCTGGCCAGCATCTGACAAATTGCTCACCAGATAATGGGAAACCCTCCCATACACCTACATTCAAATTCATATTTAAAAACTAATTATGGGCCCCATTCTCCACAGCTTATTTCCTCACTGTAGAAACTCAAGTTCCAAATTGCAGAGTTTCCCTGGAATACTTCCACTAACCCTATCTGTAGAAGAGTCCAGGAGTTCAGTGCTGTAAATCCACAGATGTCCCCAGTCAGGTTGGACCTTCAGCAATTCACTGGGCCTGACTCCCTCCCCAGCTCCTTGCATCCCTTGACAGCACATCTTGACTGTCATGTTCTTCTTCAGCTGCCTCTAAATTCCTGACAATGGGGCCTTCTGCTGTTCAGAGGTAGGATCAGATACAGGTCCTCAGCTGGACTAAATGGACATAGCTCCCATGAGGGAGGAGTTATGCTCAATGACACCAGGTAAGGTGCTGGCCCTCAGTCTGAAGTGTCTTGCACTGTATAGGTCTCATAGTCCCACCCCATCCACTCCCTCCTACTTCCCGCCCCCTGACTTTCCCCCATCAGAACTCCCAACCCCCCTGCTCCTTGTCCCCTGACTACCCCCTCCTGGGACCCTTGCCCCTAACTGCCCCCCAGGACCTCACCCCCTACATAAGCCTCCTTGCTCCTTGTCCCCTGACTGCCCACCTAGGACCCTACCCCCTACCTGTCCCCTGACTGCCCCGACCCTTATCCACGCCCCCAGACAGACCC